GCCCCCCGCGACCCTGAAAAGGATAAGCGGAAGCGAATGGATGGATGGCTCAAACGTCTTTTAGGGGCACTAAAATTTCATCTACACAAGTGTAGTCAATCTAGTGAATAAATTGCAGTTAAAGTTCCTCAATAAAACAAACAAAAACACACAAGGTCGACAAACTATTTCCTTTATTAGAAAGAAATCCTTGAATGAACTCTAAACGTTATGATATTACATGCCATATATACAGTTATATACATAAAAGTGCAATGTCACATTGAGTAAGCTGTTTATTTATGATCAATTCTGCCATATAACTGTTAGGAAAATGGCATCATTTCTTACACACTTCATCATCCTGCACTGCATTTTCTCAAAAACACGGCATCTAATATCCGGGCAGAGTGTCTGAAGTTCCTCTAAAACATTTCCAAAGGCACTTTCACAGAATACAGATGTACATAACACCACAGAGTAGCTTAAAGCCTACAGACGGCATAACTCGAGTCCTACTGTTGCTGATGTTACATAGTGACAAAAACACATTTTTTTATATACACAACTGGCTTCACACTATAGGTGGGACACCTGTATCTCTGGATATTTATTCTACATCATATCTTCTAAGTGATTTCTACCCAGAAACACAACAAATATAACAAAAAGAAGATTACAAAAATAATGAAAGTTAGTAATTCAGAAATTAATTAACCTTTAATTATTTATACATATAATATTTGTCAAGTCAAAGATAGTGTAAACCTGCTGTTAGAGAGCATTGCTTATGCACTGCAACCTAACTACCAAACTCTTTTCTATATGTAACTATGCTAGCCAAACGCTCCGATGACATGCACCCGGCTCTGTTATTTCTACAGTACAGAGGTTAAAAAACAAAAACAGGGGTGCAGCCACAAAACTGGAAGTCTGGCACATACAATTTTATGAGGCTATTGCATTTTGAAATCATTATATAGGAGCTGACTGACCCACGTAGCCCATTTCTTTTCATGCACTTCTAAGTATCATCCACACAAATCGGTAAATGCGCGAAAAGAGCTTCGACGTCAGTCTGAGAGCAGTACGCAAACATTATTGACATTCTTTCCCAAATATAAAACAGACTAGAGGACTCAAAGCAAGCTGCTGTTTTCAAACACCTTCGCAAAGAGAAGCACAGGAAGCAGGGGGGACGTATGAGGAGGCTTTTACAACTAACAGTCATCAGGTCCATGGCTACTGGCAGCACAACCACAGGGCGCCACCTTGAGTCTAAACATGAAGGATCAGTATCCGTGTTTTGACTTATAACTCATGTCTTTGGGTAAATAAAGCCAAACAAGGCATAATAGGAAGCTATGGCATGTAGTCCACGCAGTGTAACAACATATTTTTCATCATCATTTTCTCCCTAAAGGTTGCACAGATGCAAAAGCAAACACATTTCTTCCCACAATCTAAGATAACGTTGCAGGAATTTATGAACGCATCAAAATGTTCAGACGTAAAAGTCATAAAGCAATAGTGGTTTTATCCAATCATCATCTGTCATTCCAGGCAATATGCTTAAATAAATCTGAGTGAAGCCAGCACAGAGGTGATCTTTGTACTTAACGAAACACAGCAGATGGCATGCTTTGCTGAAGAAAGCTGCAGTTTACATGCGAGTGGGAAAAAGCATACTATTCATTTATTAACAGAGTACCATTAATAAATCATCTGTAAAGGGCTCTTTTAGCTCCTTAAAACTCTTTCTGCCCAGCAAGTCACAGCACCTTTTCTATTAACGAACATCTGATGTATGAGCTACGTACTGGTTCGCAACACCTCCGAAGGCCATTCTAGATAAAAGGGAAAGAAAAATCGAGTTCCTCCCCCTGTGGTCACTACAGCTCTCACCACAGGTTCAAGAACTGCATGCACCATATGTTGTTCAGAGTTACAGTTCATTATCATCTGTAAACTAAACTAATGTGTACATTTTCTAAAACTTTCCGGAAGCCTTTGTGATTTGTTGTTTTTCAATTCTTTTTTTTTTTTTTAAAGATATCTGTTATTTAATATTAATATTACCTAAACATATTAACACAAATCTGAGACAACAGACATATCTGGCTGACAAATCTGTCTTCACTACAACTCCTACATCAATAACTCAGACCTAATCCTCTTTAAATTCTTGTTTTCAGATTCAAACCATCAAAAAGAAATGTCTCCAATCCAGGGCCAAGTATTTTACACACTCTTAGATATTACTTGTACTCTCTCTGAGAACTGTAAACGCTGGTTTCACAGTCTCTTGGGAACTAGATTGAGAGTTTTTTATTTACATTCCCCGATTCCCGCCCTGGAGGTTACATGGTGCAGGACTTATCCAGAGGGTCCTGAGAAGAATTAGCAGGAGGCTGAGGGGCCTGATTTGATTTTGGTAAGACCATGGGCTTGGGCCTCAAAGCGGGGGGTTTGAGCTGCACCCCCATGCGTGGTGCTACCACGGGCTTGAACGTGCTCACGGAATCATTGGAGGAGCTGGTGCTGCGGCGGGCGGGCGGCTCAGTGTTGGCAGTTGACCTCAGCATGACGCCGTGGATGGGGCTGAGGGACTCGCTGGAGCTGGCCGGTGTCGGACCTCCGCCGCTGCTGCCGGAGGTCTGCCGCTGCTCCAGGGTGTCCAACACCACGTCGGGGGCGTGCTTGGCTGAGCTCTGCCGCTCCAGCTCTCGCAGCTCGTTCAGAGCAGTGTTCATAGTTTCCTCTATGTCCTGCAGGAGAGGAGAAAAATGTGCGTGAGAGAGGATGATAATGACATAGGCAAGACACGAGCAGGAGGGTGAAGATGAAAAAAGAGAGAAAAAAAACAAGAAGGCAAGATTGGACGGAGGAATTCAGAGTGAAAAAGACCATAAACATGCAAAAACATGGAGAACACAGACAGAATATAAAAGAAGAGCACAAGGAGAGATTTTTTAAGAAAACACCAAGCATGCAGCATACATGCAAAGTTAGTAGACAATATTACTTAATACTGGCTCTTCTCCCTCACCATGTTAATGGCTCTGGATTGCAAATGAGATGCAGAGATGACATGTTCATCTTAGCATGCTCCCAGTAGGCAGACCGACAGCCCAGCACAGTTTAAGGTGCTCTCTGTAACCCTCTGCTTTCTAAATGACAG